TATATATATATATATATATATATATATATATATATAAAATCTTACTAAAATATGCCAAGCATGCTTCTTGTCCTGGTCATGAATAGCGTTTAGAACGAAACGTTTGTATAAAAAGTTGGTGCATCAACTTGTCAAAAATATTCGGGGTAAGGCATAGTTTGAGGTAAATTCAGATTTAGACCCAAGACATTTCCTTTGGGACCCGAGACATTGTGCCAGTGAGAAAAAGAACTACAAATCAAATGAAAACACAGATGACCAACAAAATATTTTGCTAACTAGCTAAAATATCCTTTTAATGGTAACTAAAGAAAAACCGCACTTAGAAAAAAATCAGTTCTGGGGCGCCTGGGTGTCTCAGCTGGCTAAGCGTCCGACTTCAGCTCAAGTCATGATCTCACGGCCCACAAGTTTGAGCCCAGCATTGGGCTCTGTGTTGACAGCACAGAGCCTGGAGCCTTCTTTGGATTCTATATCTCCCTCTCTCTGCTCCCCACCTCCTCATACTCTGTCTCTCTCTCTCAAAAATAAATAAAATGTTAAAAAATAAAAAAATAATAATAATAATTAAAAAAAAAGAAAAAAATCAATTCTGACATATTGAAAGTTGAACACCATACAAATATTACTAGAATGTGGGAAAACATATCCAGAGAGATGAGAGAATGTCTGATAAATGCCAAGGGGCTCTTCTGTCACATAAATACCCAAAGCCCAAAGACTAAAATGCAGCCATGTCCCATCCCTGACCCCGTGATAGAAAATTATAAGCAAAAGGGATACTTACCACAAAGGGGGTTGGGGTTATATCCGAAAAGAGGTACACAGGAATCCCTTGGGTAATAAATGTGGTTGCAGCAAGTCGGGCAAATCTGGAAATGCAGTGTGATGGGGCAGAAAGGAGAACAGGGCTGTCAGGACTGTGCATGACAGTGAAGCAGGAAGTGAATGCCCACCCACTTCTTTAGGTTCATTTGTTATATTTCCATTGGCATAGAACATTCAAGCTGGAGGAATCCTAGGAGTCATCTCGTTCCACCCTTTTGTTTGACAGACATGGGACTAAGGCCAAGGAAAGCCAGAGAAGTCATCCCACGTCCAATGGCCACACAGCAGCTAAGCCAGGGCTGAGCCCAGCAGAGGGCAATTCTGCCCCCGTGGGACGTCTGCAGTGTCTGAGGCATTTTTGATTGTCACTGGGGACTGGGGTACGTGCTACCAGCAGGCTAGAGGCCAAGGATGTTGCTGCACATCCTATAATGCACACAGCAGTCCCCAACAAAGAATTATCCAGCCCAGTATGAAGTCACATGTCAACAGTGCAGAGGCTGAGAAATCCCAGTCTGAAGTTATCACAATCCAGCATGAGCCACACAGACTAGCATTTGATTAGATGTTCTCATAAAACATAAGGCATATTGACATATGTATGTGAGTGTGCATGTGATGTGTGTGTGTGTGTGTATATATATATATATATATAT